TTGCAGATGACATAATCCTCCACATAGACAATCCCAAGAATTCTACAAAGGATTTTGTAGATGCCCTTTATCAGGTTGAAGAAGTTCCTTTCTATTCCTTGTTTGCCGACAGTTTTTTACAAATCATGAATGAATGTTGAATTTTGTCAAATGCTTTTTCTGTATCAATTGATAATGATTATGGGTCCTTTCTTCTTTGGACTATTAGTATGGTAGATTGCATAGAACTAAAACGTGAGCTTATAAAGGTCACAGGATACATGGTTAATAGATAAAAACTGTATTTCTGTGTACTAGCAATTGTCAATTAGAAACTTAAATTTAAAATAATATTTATCATGGCTCCCCTCAAATTAAATACTTAATGTTCAAAGCTACCAAAACATGCATATGATCTGTATGCTTAAAACTGCAAAATATTAATGAAAGAAATCAAAGAAGACCTAAATAAATGGAAAGACATACCGTATTTATGGATTAGAAGACGGAACATAGTAATGATGTCAATTTCACTTAAATTGATCTATAGATTTAATGCAACTCCAATCAAAATTACAGCAGGATTAAAATTTTTTTATTGATACATAATAGTTGTACATATTTTTGAAGTACATGTGATATTTTGATACATCAATATAATGTATAATTATCCATTACTTTAAACATTTATCTTTTCTTCATGCTGGAAACATTTGAATTATTCTCTTCTAGCTATTTTGAAACATACAATAGACTATTTTTTACTATAATTAAACTACTGATTTATAGAACACTAGCTCTTATTTCTTCTATCTAACTGTATTTTTGTACCCATTAATCAACCTCTCTTCATCCCTCCCACCCTTCCCGGCCTCTGGTAACCACAAGTGTACTCTCTATCATCATTATATCCACTTTTTTAGCTCCCCCATATGAGTGAGAGCATCTAGCAGAATTTTTTCGACCTAGACAATTTGATCCTAAAACTTATTTTGAAAGACAAAGGAGCTAGAGTAGCTAAAACAATTTTGGAGAAGAACACAGTTGGAGAAATAATATTTCTCTATTTTAAGATTTATTATAAAATTACAGTATCCAACACAATGTGGTATTGGCAAAGGTACAGACAGCTAGATTAATGGAACCGAATAGAGTACAGAAGTAGGTTTATACAAATATAGCCAATTGATTTTTTTTTTTACAAAAGTGCAAAAGAATAGCCTTCAAAAAATAGTGTTGGAACAACTGGATATCCACATGTAAAAAAATTTTTTAAATCCTCGTCCTAAATCTCATACCTTATTTAAAAACCCTCAATGTACCTAAATGTAAAGCAGAAAACTATAAACATTTGGAAGAAAACATAAAGAGTTTTTTAGACATAACACCAAATGCATGATCCATAAAAAAAACCCGATAAACTAGATTTCACCAAAATGTAAAACTTTTGCTTTGCAATGGCAGTATTAGGAAATGAATAGATAAACCACAGAATGGGAAAAAATTTTTGCAAATCACATATCCAACAAAGGACTTGCATCCAGAATATATAAAGAATTCTCAAAACAAACAACCCAATTTTAAAAGGGGCAAAATAAATTATTTTTTGAGACAGGGTCTCCCTCTGTCACCCAGGCTGGAGTATAGTGATGCAATCATAGCTCACTGCAACCTCGAACTTTGGGGCTCAAGTGATTTTCCAGCCTCAGTTTCCCAAGTAGCTAGGACTACGGCATGTGCTACCACATCCGGCTAATTTCTTTTAGTTTTTATAGAGATGGAGTCTCACTACTTAGACCAGGCTAGTCTTGAACTCCTGGCCTCAAGCGATCCTCCCACCTTAGCCTCCCAAAGTGCTGGGATTACAGGATTGAGCCACCATGCCCTTCCAGAGGTAGCAGATTTGAACAGATATTTGACCAAAGAAGATATACAAAAGCAAATAAACACATTAAAAGATGTTGAAAATTATTATTAGCTACTCGGGAAATGCAAATTAAAACCACAATGAAATACCACTACATACCTTTTAGCATGGCTAAAAACAAAACTACACTAAACTAATATTAATAATATCAAGTTCTGGAGAAGAGACAAAGCAACTGGACTACATTGTTGGTGGAAAACAATGCAATAAAAAATAGTACAGCCACTCTGGAAAACAGTATGGTTGTTTTGCATAAAGTTAAACATACATTTACATATGATCTAGAAATCCCATTTCTCGGTATTTACTCTAGAAATAAAAACATGTTCATGCAAAAACCTGTACAAGAATGTTTATAGCAGCTCTACTGATAATAGTCAAAAAAATAGAAACAATCCAAATGTGCTTTTGTGCTTTTGCAGGTGAATGCCTAAACAAACTGTGATGGATCACATTTCATAAGATGGAATACTACTCGTGGAATACTACTCAATATTATGCTGAGTTAGAGAAGCCAGACACAAAAGAGTACATACTATATAATTCCATTTATTTGAAATTCTAGAAAAAGTAAAACTAATTTATAATGACAGAAAGCAGACCAGTGGTCGCCTGCAGATTGACTGGAAAAGGGCATCTTTGGAATGATAGAAATGTTGTATATCTTGATTGCAGTGGTGATTACATGGTTGCATACATTTATCAAACTCAAAGTTGAACAGGTACACATCTTATGACCTAGGTGGCTTCTTTTAGGTATAGAGCAATGTTTAATCACACTACTGGTAGAGTCCTACTTTTAGTGAGTCATCAAATCAATTCAGTGTGCCTACCCAGAGAGGCATTTATCCTGAAACTAAGGAAGCTTAAGCTTCAGGCCCCCTCACTTGCAAAGCTTCTTCCAAGGCCTGGTTACTAATTTTGTATTCAGAATGTCGTCTTCTTTTTCTAAAGGGAGCCCTCAAATTGTATTAACTTTAGGTCCCACAAAACCTGGATCTGCCTCTGGGTGACCAGAATTTTTTTTTAATGGAATGGAATAGAAAATATGAGAGTGTTTTGCAAAACTTTTGTTTCAGTTTATATAATGGGTTAGGTTGTAAAATTTTATTTCTTACCAGAGTTTGTGGTTTAAAAACACACATGCATAAAAAAAATCTGGAAATTCTGGGCTGTGTAGAAATCTATGCACATGTGCACAAGGAAATGTGTACAAATCCAATGCAGCACTGTTTGTAAGAGCGGATATTTGGAAACAACCTAAATGCCTATCAATATGAGATAAGTAAATATGAGATAAGTAGTATATGTATGTATGTAGTAGAATTCTGTATAGCTAAAAGGAGTGAATTAAATGCCACAAGTGCCAGGCTAGATGACTCTCATGAACACATTAAATCAAACAGAAGTTTAAGAAGGTTACCTAAAGCATGAGAGTATTTAGATAAAGTTTAAAACAATTTGAAAAACAGTACTATGTCTGGTAAGTTTCTGTGCATTGTTTCTAGATATAATCACATATATAGAAAAAGTATTAAAACATGCATGAGACTGAAAAAAAAAGAATTCAGGATAGGATAGTGGTGATTTCTGGGGAGAAGAAGGGAGGGAGGGAACGACATGAGGAAAATACATGGGGCTTTGAATTTATATGTTTTTTTTTTCTTTTATAAAGAATGGATTTGAGGCAAACAAGGAAAAGAATGGATCCCAGGCAAAAACGTTAAAGAATAACAAGACCGGAGGGTATGTGAATTTTTGCTGTGCTACTCTGATTCTTTTCTGATTGTGTTGTATTCTGTATGCATATTATTGTAGACATTGGTAGTACGTATTATTTCATATTTGTATAGTGTGAACATTTACATATATCACCCCACCTGGTCTTCACGATGGCCTTCTCAAGTAAGTGGAACAAAAATTTTTATTCTAAGACGTCAGAACAATTTATTAAGAGCTGGAATGGGGACTCAGCTGTTCCTTGTTCAGCCTAGATTTGCGTGGAAATGCACTGGAGACGTTTCCTTCAAGACCCGGTGGCCTGATCCAGCCGGAACGACATCCTCCACCCACTTCCCCCGAACCCCAACTTTGGGTAGGCACTTACTCAGTGGGGGAATGAATTGTATAGATTATAGCCAAATGTTTGTTCAAAAAGCATTCATTCTGAAGCGCTAGGTGGGGAGCTCCAAGAATGACTCGGATGAGATGGATACACAGCCACGAGCCAATTCATAGGAAGTACAGACTGGTTCTCTACTCCAGGCCGTGGCGCGCTGGCTCACTCAGTGTCCTTGGGCAAATCACTTAACCTTTCACTACTTACTTCCATTTACGTTCCCCGTAAACCGAATGTGTAATATTCACGACTGCGCACTCCTACCAAACATTTCGAAAATTAGAGAACGATTTAAAGTCACCAAAATGCAACGTCAACTTTCCAATACAAACTACATTCTTTGCGCCCCTCCCCATTCCGCAAAGACTTAATTTCACTCATTTAAATGGTGGACGACCATTTTAAAGGACGTGAAGTTTATACTTTTGAAAGATTAATAACTTTTAAATCACTAACATACAAATGTCTTTTGTGGCTAAAAATTAAAACAATACCTGCCTAGACAGAATAAAAAGTGAGCAGTTTATATTCTATTGCCCTTTCGTCTGTACTGGCTTGTGAAGACCTTGGAAGCAAGCGTATGTTAACCGTAAAGTTTGGAACCTTATTTTAGCACTGATAATGCCTTAGGAAAATCTTTTAAGTTCTGAGTATTATGGTATGGAAGAAGAGAAAAAACGGCGCAGAGCAGCTTCGAATCCAGCAAAACAGGGAAAGGTAACCGAGGAGCCCGCGCGTCCCCGCGCTCCCGACTTGCGCGGTGGGGTTGGAGCGCCGGGTGTTTCGGCGGGGACCGGCCCTAGAGGCTCCCTCGCGGCCGAACTGCCCACCGAGGCCACGGGTCCCTTTAAGGCGCCCTGCGAGTGGAGCAAAGGGAGCGCAGGGGGCGGGAAAAGGGTTCGCGAGCGCGCGCCACGTGACTCGGCTGCCGAGTTCGCTTGCGAGTTTGACAGAAGTTTGAATTGCACTCGGGGGCTTTCTGCTGCCGGCGGGGCACAGCGGCGGCCACAGCCTCGACGAGCGCGAGCAGCGGCGCCCCGAGACCCACGCGGCCTGGATCACCGCCCGCTGACGGCCGCTCGCGCTCCGGCACCGCTCGCCTTCCCGGCCGCGAGCCAGCAGCCCCCCGCTCGACCGCGGTTTCCGCCGCCTCTCGGCGAGGGAGCCGAGCCCCGGCGCTGCGCCCCAGCCCCGCTGCGCCAGCATGTCCTCGACGGAGAGCTCTGGCCAAACCGCGGACAAGTCGCCGCGCCAGCAGGTATTCCCTGCGGGCCCGTGGGGGCTCTCACCGGCCCCTTTAGGTGTTGGGCCTGACGCTCATTCCGCGACCCGGCCCGGGTGTGAGCGGGAGAAAGGTGACCGGTGCTTTTCCGTGGTCCCACCGCCCTGACCCCCGCCGGCTCTGTCTCTGCAGGTGGACCGCCTGCTCGTGGGGCTGCGCTGGCGGCGGCTGGAGGAGCCGCTGGGCTTCATCAAAGTTCTCCAGTGGGTGAGTCGCTGCCCCAGCCCCGGGCTATTTCTGGAGCCTGGGCTGTGACGCTGACCCGAAGTAATGTGGCCAGAGTGGGGGCTGGGGACGTGCCGCGACCGGGCCATGGCGGAAGGGTGGGGGGCGGCGACAGGTGGGCGGGGGA